TCTTTACCTCTGCGCCACCTGGGAAGCCTCCTGGGGCACCACACCTGACTGAAAATCAGGCCTTCCTTCTGAGCTGGGATTGGAGCACCTTCCCTGGGAGGGGAGGATTCCTGAACTAAATTCCTTGTTTGGTTAACAAGGAAGTGAGTCATGGATGTTGAGTATGTAACAAAGTCTAATATTTAGGGCAAGAAAGGCTAATATTTGCTTGGCCTTGTTTTATGCCAAGGGCTTTACGTGGATTCTCTTGTTTCATCCTTAAAGTAAACTAAAGGAGCTAAACAGGGACATGGTTAAAGATTTCCATTTTACTCATGATGAACCTGAGGCCGAGAGGCTAATTAAATTATTAAAGATCACACAAGAGTAAGTGACAGTGTTATTCAAATTCCTGTCAGGCTAACCTCCATGGTCATGCTCCTTCCATATGACAAAGGTATCCAAAAAGCAGTTGTTTTTCAATGTGACCTTTATTATAAATCTCCTCAATAAATTATCTCAGTCTTTAGCATATCCTAAGAATACTACCTACAATTATGATTACACAAATGTAATCACGGCACACATGCTGTTTCATGACCTGCTTTAGAAAATACTTGCTGATCTCGTGAGTGAAAAATGTACCTTGTTGTTTTCATTTGCTGGAGTTTTCAGAAGACTTAACGGTTTGTTTATGCCCAGCAACCAAAGGATTCCTTTAAAAAGGTTAAGTCAAAAAAATAAATAAATAAATAAATAAAAAATAAAAAGGTTAAGTCAAATCATGTCATGTCGCTGTCTCAAACCTCTAGGGGTTTCTCAACTCAGAGTGAAAAGCAAAATCAAATTCCCTATAATTGCTCAGTCCATAGGGTCACAAAGAGTTGGACATAACCAAAGGACTTAGTGCACACGTATGCATACTTAGTTAAAGTGTGAGTGTAAATTTTTTCTACATTTATTATATTTGAGTTTCTACTATTTGTGGATATATACTACTTAAAGAATCTGATTTAAACATTGTGATTTGTAATCACATTTTTCTCCTGGGTGGTTTATTTGGTGAGCAAGAAGGGTTAAAACTGTTCCAAGAGCCTCCTCTTCTGCATTTATTCAAGGAAAATGGTTTATGGTACAGGATGATTAAAATTATGAAATCTTTGTGTGTGTTTACAATATTTACATGTACTTATTGTTTTCAGTATATTCCTCATTTAGCATAGAGATAAAAGGTCACTAGGCTATAAATTTCAATCATTAGGATCTTGTGTCAGTGGGACATTTATGATAACCGAGTCCACTTACAAATTCTACTCTGTATTTGATAGTAAGTCCATTCAAAATTGAACTTGGTTCCATACATTTTTATTTACTCCCCTTGCTTGAATTTTAAATGTTAAAAGTCTAGTTGCTTAATGTGACATTTTCATTTTTTTACAGACAATTTCCAGTTTTATGTGACTTCCCAGGTGGCTCAGCAGTAAAGAATCTGCCTGCCAATGCAGGAGAACAGGATATGCAGGTTCGATCCCTGGGTTGGGAAGATCCCCTGGAGGAAATGGCAATCCACTCCAGTATTCCTGCCTGAAAAATTTCATGCACAGAGGAGCCTGGCAGGCTACAGCCCATGGGGTCAAAAAGAGTCAGACCTGACTAAGTGATCAAGCATGCACCAATTTCATGAACCAAATTTTAAATCTGTGATTTTTTTTTTTTAAATCAGGAATACTATCAGGAATTCCCTGGCAGTCCAGTGGTTAGGGCTCTGCACTCTCATTGCAGAGGTTCAATTCTTGGTCAGGAACTAAGATCTCACAAGCTACATGGCATGGCCAAAAAAAAAAAAAGCGTACTAAAGTTTGCCCAAGTCTTTTAAAAAAATACTATCAGAAAAATATGGATATATGACTACTATGCTGATTTAGGAAACAGAATACCAATTTTCCTTTCCTTTATTTACTTATTGCTTTTTGTTGTTTAAAGCAGTGCTTCTACTTCATTATTCAATTATGCGTTTTTGTTACACCCAATTCTGGTGATGCGCTGACAAATATAAAAATTAATTCTGTCCTTTGGAACTTAATAACAATACCAGGAAAATATCCTATTTATGGTACGGTGGCTCACAAAGCACTTTAATGTATTTTTTCTTTTAATATCTTTCTTCAGAGTATTCAGGAATTGTGCAAAACAATTTGTTCTGGGTGGGGTTATCTCCTTCTTTCCATTTACAATCAAACAAGTTATATAAATCCTTTAAGGTACACATGACTCTTAAATTGGAGTATTTAAGTATTTAAATTGGAGTACCCTACCAGGGAGGCGCAATTAGTAAGGATTGTGTTAATGAAATAATGGAAAGCAAATGACAAAAGTCTATCATAAAGTAAGTAGATCATCTGATTTCCTTACATCAGTTTCTGTGCATGGCACACACAGGGGTTGGGCTTCCCTATGGCTCAGACAGTAAAAAATCTGCCTGCAATGCAGGAGACCTGGGTTTGATCCCTGGATTGGGAAGATACCCTGGAGAAGGAAAAGGCTACCCACTCCAGTATTCTGGCCTGGAGAATTCCATAGACAGAGGAGCCTGGTGGACAACAGTCCATGGGGTCACAAAAGAGTGGAACATGACTGGGTGACTAACATTTTCACACAGGGATCAGCTTACATTGGGTGAACCAACATAGAATATCTGGTTTTTAATTATCCAATGGCTGTGAGGCTGGAAAGGCTTCAATGTTGCAAGATCTTTAAAGTCGACTGGCTGTAACTCCAAGGACTGCTGCCTAGGGTGACTGAGACTCCCTTGAGTTAATAGACAACTTTGCAAACTGGATGTGAGTAAGCCTGAAGGCGTGCAAGCCTTCTTTCTGTCTGAGCAGAGAATGACTCGAGCCAGTTCTATCCTTCTTGTCATCTCTGGGTCAGTTCTCCCTCCCAACTATTCCACATGGCTGAGGAGAGAACCTATAAGGGCATCTGAAGCTCTTCAGATCACAACGGTCCCAGTCCTTACAGCTCCCCTCCTCTCTTGAAGCCTCAGTTGCTCTAGATGTAGTGAAGTGAAAGTCGCTCAGTCATGTCCAACTCTTTGCTACTCCATGGATTTCTTCAGGCCAGAATACTGAAGTGAGTAGCTTTTTCCTTCTTCAGGGGATCTTCCCAACCCAGGGATGGAACCCAGGTCTCCCACACTGCAGGCAGATTTACCCACTAAGCCACAAGGGAAGCTAACTCTAGAAAAGCATCCTTCAAATCCATGACTGAAAAATAATTGGCCTATTCAGGAATTTCAGACAATAAAGTATAAGGATTAGGTGTATATCTTAAAACAAGTCTCCAATTATCATTTGACTTTTACACCCAAAATAGGAGTATTGCATGGACTGTTACAAGGAATTAATAGCCCTTGTTCCTTTAAATTTTCATGTAAAATGAGCATAAAATAGTACTAACTACCCTGCAGTTGCTCAGTCCTGTCCGATTCTTTGTGACCCCCACAGATTGTAGCCCCCCAGCCTCCTCTGTCCGTGGAAGTCTCCAGGCAAGAATACTGGAGTGGGCGCCGTTCTCTTCTCCAGGAGATCTCTCCTACCTAGGGATCGAACCCCGGGTCTCCAGCATTGCAGGCAAATTGTTTACTGTAGGGTCACCAGGGAAGCCTGCTACCTACCTTATGCAGTTGTTTTCAGGACTAAAGGCGGTAACGCAAGGAAGTTTAGCTATAATAGCTGAAAATTTTGTTTTCTAACCTTCTCTTCCCCTCCTAATGTAACCTCTCCTAAAGCCGGGTTACCACAGCAGAGCTGAAACTTCAAAACCGCCTTTAGTCAGGATCTCAGCAAGGGAATTAGTATGGTTTAAATCAATTTAATAACACCAAGATGTAAATAACTATCACCCACAGGTGGCCTGGAGAAGAATTTTGCATTTTCAAAGAGGATTAGCTGACTGGAAGGATTCAGAAAATACGGAACTTGTTTGTTTTTTGAAGAGGGTGAATAGAGTTCCCTGAACCCTTCACCCCAAGATTGAAACCGTGCCTTGTAGGTAAAGCGGATTTTGGAAGGGAAGATTTAAAAAGCACGTTTAATTAATAAGCACTCGAATTGCAGAACTCGTTCACCCTGCTTCGCACCAAGTGGCCTCAAAGATCATAATGACCTTGGCCGTCCTTATTTCGGAATGAATCCTCACTAGAAAGAAGGGCGAGAGAGAAAGACCGAAGCTCAACTGAATTTCCGGAAAGGATGTTTTTATTTGAATAAACTACCCAGTCGTTACTTCCCCACGCCTCTCAGCTAACTTTTAACCCTCCTTGGAGGGCCGGGTTGCCGGAGCTCTCTTCGGGGCGAAAAGACTGCAGAACTCCTGAGGGTCTCGGGGGTGGGGTGGGGTGGGGGTGGGGGGTTCCTGCGCCCTGCAGTCTTCGCCCGCTGGACCCCCGGGAGGAGGCAAGCAGTGTGGAGACCGCGGACAAAGTTTCCGGCTCTGCTTGGGCCCTCCCCCAAACCCGAGCTAGCCGGGCGGGGGGACTGATCTCCGAGGAATTGGCAGTTTCCGGGAGGCTGGGGTAGCGACCCGGAGCACAGACGCAGCCATCTAAGCAGGGTTCCGGGGGGTTCCCCAAATACTGCTCGGGAAGAGCAGCGCTCGTAGAACAGCCCAACTACATCGCCCCCACTCCCACCTGCGCCGGGAGTGCCCCGACCGCCTGGGGCGCGTCCCAGGCCTCTCGGGGCGGGGCTCGCGGAGCGCGGGGCGGGGTCGCGGCCCAGGGGGCGGGGTCGCCGGGCGCTGCTGGGGCCCCAGCCGCGCCAGGAGCCGGGCCGGGAAGCCAGGAGGCGGCGGGAGGGGCCGGGACGGCCGGGTTGAGCGGCGGCCGCAGCTGCAGCAGGACGGCCCGCCGGCGGCTTGGGGCCGCGCGCCGGGAACCTCGCGGGGCGGGCGGGCGCGGCACCCCCTGCCTGGCCGCCAGCGCCCCGGGGAGGCGGCCCGCGCGCGACGGGACCAGCAGCATGAGCAGCGGCTACAGCAGCCTGGAGGAGGACTCCGAGGACTTCTTCTTCACCGCCAGGACCTCCTTCTTCAGGAGAGCGCCCCAGGGCAAGCTCCGCACCGGCCAGCAAGTGAGTGGTGTGCCCGGTGGGCGCAGTAGCCGGCGCCCAGTCGCTCCCGGGGCGGCAGGACCCCAACTCCACGTGTCTTCGCGGGGTGCACGAGGGATGCTCGCGAGGAAGGAGGAGGAGGCCATCGAGAAGGGGCTTCTGTCTTTTCGGATCTCGGAGTAGTGCCTCGAGCTGGTGCTTGCGGGCTTGCGCTGGGCGCACCGGGAGGGAAGCCGGAGGAAGGGCGGGGATGCGGAGGGCCCGCTCCCGCCTGCCGCGCCAGATGGCCTCTGTGACTCCGCCTCGGGCGGCCGGCGGCTGGGGAGCAGTTCAGAGAGCCAGGAGTCGTCCCCGGGCCACTCCCCATGTTTCCCCTGTGCCCGGGGACGCCCTTCGCCCCCTCGCGGTCCTCACGGCGGCCCCCGCTATTAGTCCGTTTATTGGCCTGTGGCCCCCGGAGTGTTTTGGGGGCCGTGTAACGGCCAGGGGTGGACGTGGGGACCCAGCCTCCCCTACCGTCTCGGTCAGTGCGCCTCTCGTGGCGGGGTGGGGGGCGCTGAGGGAAACACGGGCCCTCGCCAGAGCAGGCGCTCATTAAATCTGGGTGGCAGGAGTCACGGTGGCGCGTTTCCAGTAAAGTCAAGTTTATAGGTGCCTCTAATGTTTTCAAACAAGTTCCGGTACTAGGTAGGAGCAGCCGGCGAGAGCTGAGCCTTCGGTTGGTTTCTTCCTTTTTTGGAGGAAGCGTGCAGTGGAAAGCATGACTTGGGAAAAGATTGGAAGGGAACTTGGGTTGGTTTCGCCGACCATGATTGTGTGTTTCAGGGAGGCTCCCCCGGAACGGGACGCTCGGGCTGATGTCTGAGTCCGGTGCTTGAACCCCGCGGCCTCCTGGCCCTGGGAGCCTCGGCAGGGAAGTCCTGCCAACGCAGACGTGCTGGTATCCGATCAGAGAAGGCTGGAAGGGAACAGATTGATTGCTTCTTAAAAAACAGCAGGCGCGCCCAACATTGCCATCAGACTTCTTTCTGGAGACTAGAGGCAAGGAAAATCAGGGCCGCATGATGACTTATGGGAGGGGTGAGGACGGAGTAATGTGTCAGGATTTCCTTGCCAGACCTTTAAAGTTTACTTAACCACTTTAGGAGGTCAAATTTCTTTTTAAGATTCGGAAGTTTTAGTCTTTTGAACCTCTTAACTTCCCAAACCTGAAGAAGGGGCGAAGGGTAGGGAAGGGCAAGAGTCAGGTGCCCTTACTCAGTAGCTGATGATCCCAAGTGAAGTTTCGAGTCAATAGTCCTCGGCTTTTGATTGTTTCTAAGGCTTAGTCACTTTAACCTGAGGCTGCTGTAACATATGCTAGGTGATTTCAACAACGAAGTGTGTATTTCTGAAAGTTCTAGAGGTTAGATGTCCGAGGTGTGGGTGCCAGCATGTTGGGTTCTTTTTTTTTTTTGGCCCTTAGGGGCATGCAGGAGATCCCCCCAATCAGGGATCAAACACTTGCACCCAGGGAGTGGGAGCCAGGAGTCTTGACCATTAGACCACCAGGGAAGTCCCAGCGTGTTGTGTTCTGATGAGGGCCCCTTCCGGGCTCTAGATAGCTGATAGCTACCTGGCAGTTCCCCCACTCCAGGGAAAGGGCTGCCTCTCACCTTCCTTTAAGGCCACTCATCCCATCCTGTCGGCCACCCTGAAGGCCTGATTACCTCCCAAAGGCCCCGCCTCCAAATCTTATCACAGTAGCGTTTCATCATACGAATTGAGGGGTGGGTGGGTGGGGCAGAGGCAACAGTTCATAGCAAGTGAAATCTTATTTTTAGTGAAGTGTATTCTGATGCCATGAGTTTGCTGTCAAGTTCGGAAGTCAGGAATGCCTGCCTGTCCAGTCAGTGCATTGAAGAATTGCATTTCCTTGTGCTTTTTTTTTTCCACTTTGCTTTTCTCTTTCTTGGGCTCTACGTCCTTTCTCTTCTCTACTTTGTGTTTTTGTGTTTTTTTTTTCCCATTTATGTCACTGTCATCATTTGACACTTTTGAGTAGAGATTGTCAGAGATGGTTGTGCTCATTTGAAGTCTATCCCAGAGGCTACTAGTAGCTGCAGAAAACTAGTTGGTGTTGAATTCTCCAGGCCTGAAATGCTCCTTTATGAGGGCCAAGGTATCCAGGTTGAGCTTGTATGAAAAGGTTTTAGTGCTTTAAAAAGTAATAATTTTTTTTCTGGGTTTATACACTTACAATGTCTATGTTATACTCATTAACTTACATAATATTCATCTAGTATATATAACATACTCATTTAATGATACTTATTTAGTGTTTAGGCTTGTCCTACCAACGATATATATTTTGAAGATTGTGCTGAGTGAGAATCAGAACAGTAAGTCTTAGATCTTTGCTTAAAGAGCTTCAAAGTATATTCTGAAACTTTATTGCCTGTGTATTTCCCCTTCTAACATAACACTTACTGGGTGCTGAGTTAGAGGACTTATTTCCCAGTTGGAGAACGTGTTCCAACTGAAACTTGTGGGCGTTTTGGTTTATCTAAAGAGTGAATCTGTTAAATTCCTGATAAGATTTATGGGTTAAGGAAGTCAAACTTACCGTAAATTTAAAACAAGGCACTCTTAATACAGAACATGTCTTTTACCTAAGGTTAGATAAATCTTTTTTCCTTCTTTATGCCAGTGATTATAAGAATTAGGTAGCCTCTGACATATAGTTTAGAAGTGAAATTTATGTCTTCTCTAAAGAGGTGGAAAGAGAAGTGTTGCCAGAAGGATCTATTATGGATAATAGTGATTTTGTAAAATTGCTATACCACCTGGTGGAAAGGCCAGGAAAATGTGGTTTCTAGAACTCTTGAAAATATCCAGGGAAAACAAGATGTCTGTGGTAAATGCAGGATGGTGAGAAAGGGGGAGAGAGGGTGAGAAATTTCTTTCTTCTCTTGCCAGGCAAAGGAACATGGCCCAACTTTTTCTTTCTTATTTTATATTGGTGTCCTCTTTAAGAAAAAAAAAAGGAAAAGGCTTAAAAACTTGTCTGAAAAATACAAAGGAAAGAAATTGTGGCCTTTTTCTAGGAGTTTGAATGCCATGGTTGCTGCTGTAATCCCAGGGCTTCCATCAGTGAGTCTTAGTTGAATGAATGAATGTTTTCTTGGTTTGATAATTGTTGGCTCTTTATGGGTTTTCAGTGTACCCTGTCTTATGATTCTCCCAAGAATCCTCTGCGGCATTAACCTAATGAAAGGTTGGGCCTCGTTAAGTGATTTGCTAAAGACCCACACTTAGGTAGGGAAAAGGCAGTACTCAAGTTTTCCCGACTCAAAATTCCTGTCTGCTTTTCACTGCTTCTTGGCTATAAAAATAATTTTAATATTTCAGTTTACTTTTGCAAAATGGATATCTATAATTTAGGAGTTTCTTAACATTTTGACACCCTAACTTTCATGTATCTTCATTACAGTGTTCATAAGTCATCCTTATGAATGTACTGTTATGCTTTGTGCAGAAGCAAGAATGTTAACAGTGTGTTAACTCATAATTTTCCTTTTCTACATATTAAGGCTTCCAAGAATAGAAATGAACTAAAATCGTTAATCTATCAGAGCATATTCTGCTTCTTCTCTAAACCAAGGTGGTCACTTTTCTTCCTGAGCCTTGGGTACATAATAGGAATAAGAAATGACTCTGTGTTTGCTTTAGAAGTAGAATAATTAAGAAGTAATTATAATTATAATAAAAGGGAGTTAATAAAAAATGTTAAAAAGAGAAGTCTTATTTAGGAGCTTGAAATTGTCTTCTGAGCCATCCACACTTTTTAAGAAGTTCTGAAAAAAAAAAAAAAAAGACGTTCTGCTGAAGAATGGGTTAAGATCTTAAGTTCGCCCATGGGTTTTTTTCCTTGATATAATTTAAATATTTTGTGGTTCTCTGGCTCTGCGTCTTACACCTAGAACCAACAGTAATGAGTTGCACTATTTTATTCAGTGTTTCCATTAGAAGTTTTGGTGATAGAGAGCTAATTTACAACATCAAAGGTATTTTGCTTAAACTTTTTCTACTGACAGAGTCCCTGTATTACTGAATATAAACATTCCCAGCAGTTGTTTTGCCCCGTGTACGGTTATTTGCACATCTCGTCACCGTGTCTGATATATTCTGTTCTTACACAGTGTTAATCCAATGGAATTTTGTGTCTGTGTGAGCAGGACTCACAGAAACACATTCCTTTAACTGAATTTCAGAAGAAAATTAGTCACCAGTCATATACCAGCAAGCATGAACAATACACACTCTACCCCATTTCTTTTTACGGCTAATGTGCGAGAGTTAGAATTATTTGGAAAGCAGTGACACAAAACATTTACAAAAAGGAAAGCTAAATGCATCCAATGATGTGGTTATTCTTCGATTTCCTTAGGCAGTCAGTGCGTGTTGTACTGTAAACAGTCGTTTTTGGACAAAAAAGTGAGACTGGCCGAATGCTTTCTCGTGTACCAGCTCCTCGCCTAGAGCATCAACTCTTGTTTACTCTTAGCTTTCCAGATAAATTGCTGCCTTTTGATAAAGACCCCAGTTTGAGGCTTGCTTTTGGCTTCTAATTTGTCCCAGGGTCATTGGCTAGCCGGGCCCCTCTTTGGAATGGATGGTGAGAAACAGTGTAGGGTATAATAAGGTAAATGCTTGCAAAGATACATCTTGACTAACTTGGCCCATTTTTGTCCTTGTCTTGTTGAAGAGCTGATATATGTTGCCTTGTAGGAGGCTGCTATTTTGGTTAAGCAGGCAGTCTACAGTCTTACAGTCTGTGGGGTCGCAAAGAGTCAGACACAGCTGAGTGAATGAGCATGCAAAGCATTGCCTGTTATTACATATGTTGTATATCAGAAGGCCTAGCTCATTGTTTGTTCTCTGATGCAACAACTTTTTAAAAAAATATTTATTTTTATTTATTTACTTATTTGGCTGTGCCCAATCTTAGTTGCAGCACACGGGATCTTTAGTTGTGGCAT